GGGCGAGCGAAGTAAGTTAAACTAATTTATTTGTCCCTTACTTTGGTACAGTGATGGTTGTACAATGTTAAAATTAGAGGTTCTGATTAAGTGAAGGTCTAAACTGCAACTGACTGATTGACTGACTTGAGTATGTTTTTAAATATACAACTGTTTTTACCCCCAAGATGCTTTTAGACATTTTTTACTTACGGTATTCGTTGAGACATAGAAAAATAAGGTTGAGAAGTGAAACTGCAATAAATCTATCAATAATGAATTTTGAAACTGAAATGGATATGTAAAAGAATCTTGAGTTTTCTCACAAGCGATAAACTAGAGGTTTTAAGTACACAGATGACAGAAACAAGCGAACAGCAATAGAATGAAATATGAGAAAAGGGGTGATTTTAAGCTAGACCAGGCTACAAATTAATGACACAAAAAAATGGAAAACGAAATGAATACAAGTTACAAGAAATATGATATAAGGTTAAGATTAGTGTTATTTGAAAGAAGTTATTGAAAAGTGCACTTTTAACATTAGATACATAACTTTGGTATTAAATAACATGGACCAGTGATAAAATATGAGAGGTATCTAACATCTAGTTCAAAATATTTGCAAATATTGCTTTTAGAGAGATTATTTATATAGTTCCAAAATGAATATATATTTTTGGCTGACCTTTTTTCAACTTCATTATAATTTTTTTTGTCTATTTTTAATTGTGTTAAACGAAAGACATGAAAGGAACATATTCCATAATAATCACATTTAAAATATAATGAAACCTGTTTTTAATATCAATATTCTCATTTTGTTATAATTAATCCGGTCTAAATTAAGCTGTTCTAAATTTATATTAGACTAGTCAGCCTATCCACCCTATTTTTACTACATTTTAATAGTTTCATTGATAATTTATTTGTTTACAATTAAAATTTAAAAAAAAATTAGTTATAAGGGTCCACGGGACTAGGAAGTCCGAAGAAGGCACACACCGTACATTCTTTTTGATTAACGGCTAAATCTAATTAATGCTTATTTATTTTTGAAATGAAACTTCTTTACGCACGGTAAGGTAAGTTCCCGAAGTGAGTTTGTTTTAATATGAAATATTCTCAATTTTTACCCACTACACACAACCTCAAATTAATGAGGCAAAATCTCTCGTAGCTTAGTGGTCAGAGCATTGGCGCGTAAAGCCAAAGAGCCCGGGTTCGATTCCCGGCGGGGGTGTGACAACAGCAACAATTTTTCCTCATTAATTTGAGGTTGTGTGTAGTGGGTAAAAATTGAGAATACTCTTCTATACTTTCGAAGCGCGTGCATATTGTTACGAATCAGAGACATGGAAATTTGTAGAAGTCGTAATGTTATGACGTAGCTGCTTGCGCGCATTAACACTGGCGATCGAACAGGCTACGCATCCTAAATAAGCTAGATTATTCCGAATACGTATTATCAAGTAAAATATTTGGATTAATCCGAAAATTGAAATACTCGATTCAAGGAATATTTTAATACGTATCCTTACAACACTATTCCGTTTTATTAAATGGTCATTGCTGGTAGATTAACACTTCCATACTTAAATAAACAAAGGGACTATGGAAGCCATGAATTAGTAAATATATATATATATCTCTAATGCATGTTGACAGTGTTGAGAGCTTGGCAGCTTGGTACTTTCATGAAATAATAGATAGTAATAAGGATGTGTTCCGAAATATAACCCAGCATACTGACCAGTGCTGATGACGTAATGAATCGACGCCATACTGTTGATTCGTTCCGAAATATACTGGCCAGTGTATTGATGTCAATTTGACGCCATATTGACAATAGTGTTTGTGCTCGTTTACAATAATTTTGCTCTAAAACTTATTAAAGTTTCTCACAATAAAAAATTCCTCAATGTCTGATGCACACACGCCCGTTTGATATACTACTACATCACATTTGTCTCACCAGTACAATATGGTGCCACACCAGTACAATATGGCGTCGATTTATAACGTCATCAGCACTGTCCAGTATGTTGGGTTATATTTCGGAACACACCCTAAATAAATAGTATGAGTATTATCACCACGAAGCGTTTAGTCATACTACATGTATTCATTTGCAGGTGCTCATCATTAAACTAGTGCCTAACAGCATAATCTTGTCAGATGCAGAATTGGTTTGGTATTCTTAAGATAATATTATTTGGAAACGATCATAAAGCGACAATACAAACGAAACTATTCGGATAAATCTTCGTTAAATGTTGGCAACAAAGTCTGTTGCATAACTTGGGATTTTATTTACAGACTGTATTTACTCAGTGGCTTGTAAATTATTTTTGCTGAAATTTGATAGGTCAACGTATTATACGTAAAATAAAAAAATGTGTTATTGTTATTGTAACCGATCCGACGGGACTTGAACCTTGACGAAACTCTGGTACAAACTAGAGTTGGTGGATCGGCTTGCGAGTTTCGATGATTTAGGCAGACGGATCATAGATTCAACCATAATGGAGGGGTTCTTAAAGAGAAACCAGACTAAGACAAGTCCCTGAAGGAGGGCAGCAGCTCTTTCAGTACTCAGGGTGGCAGAGATCACGANACATTTCATATATTAGAAATATCAAGAAATATATTTAACATCCCTATTATTTAGAAAAGTATTGCCAGACTAAAATTAAAATAGTACTGGAGTAATTACACATCTTGTGAAGTAACACATGATTGATAAAATGAATTTATTGCCTAAATGAATCCTTATCATTATGACAAAATGTATGCACCATTAATAGAAATTATTAACTACTAATTACAATCAATTTTTCAAAGTCAACAAAATGTGTTTAAACTGATGTAGCTAAAAAACTATTTTGGTATATTATTACATATGTTTATTATAGTGCTTACATTCTAATTTAAATCTTTAAAAAAATCAAAAGATTCTTTATCTTCAAATATTCAACAAAAGATGTGCATGAAATGCACACAGATATACTAATTTTATGAGTTTCCTAGTATTTTATCACAAATAGAAGTTCAAATTGTCACATTACTTTCTAGTTGAGTAAAATTTTACATACGAGAACCTTTTTGTTGTAGAACTTTACCTCGATCGCTATGTTCTACTTCTGAAGTTTCTGGCACACCATACTCTCTGCTAACTACACATAAAAATTCGGCATGTTCGTCTGAGCCATAATTATACTGTGATCCAATATTGACTAGTTGCTCAAATTTCCAGCCATCAGACATTGTAGATACCATCTAAAAATGTGATGTATAATAAAAATACTAAATCATAATATGAAATCAGTACTTGGGTAAGTTCATCTTCATGACATTGCAGCACCCTATACACATGCTTTTTACTATCCCTGCTTGGTCTAGTGTCACGCAAATAAATTTTTTCTTTCACAAGTCTTATTAATTCTGCCACATTATAAAATTCAGCTTCTTCTAAAACTCCTTCTTCTGCTAGACCCTTATTTATTACTAATTTTCCATGTCGTAAATAATTCAAAACAGGGGAAAAGTATGTGGGATCACGATCTATTAAAAATGCACCAGTTTCGTCCTAAAGAGTATTTTCAAATAACAAAACATACATATAATCTTGGAATCAGTTCACCTTATCTGAGATTAATTCACTGTCTTCTTGTACTAGTCTGTATAAAAAAGAGTTAGGATCTCTGGCTAGGGTAGTTTTTGTTGTTAAAAAATATGTCCCACCGACGTTTAGTTTAACCCATTGTTTGTTAATATTTGCTTGCAATTTATCCACCATTAATTTATTTTCGTCCATATTTAAGAAAAATTCTAACCCTGTACATACATATAATGTAAGAAGAAGAAATGATTCCACTTAATCAATTAATAATAATCTTAGACTTATTTATTCTACATATTTTTTTTAATTTATGATTAAAAATATCACATGTATTACGCAAATTGCACCGACAACATCGTTTATCGTTTACTGGATGTCTCTGTCTTTTTTTGTTTTTGAGTTTTTGAATGTGATTTCGATTTGACGTATGGGTATTAAGAGATACGTTCATTAAATGTGCATAACATGTAGATTTAAATTATTAATATCAATTTTTGACTTGCATTTTTTAACGTAACGTTAATATGTTATTGTACAAATTGGGTTAAAATCTTACATTATCATTTTTTCAATTTTTTAGAGACATCAGCCCTATTAAGACTACAGTCATAGATAACTAGGAGAATGCCGATTGATGGATAACCATAGAGAAGTGGACAACGAAACATTATATGACTGCATGTTCTCAATCATCGACGTTCACTAATAGACATGCCTTAGCGGTCACAATTGTGGTACAACAAAAGAAAGAGATGGAATGAAGTTTCGGACAACATTCATCTCTCTCACGATAGTGGGTAAGCGTGTCATGACAGAGACAGCATTAGTCCGAAACCATACGCCATCTCCCTCACTTTTCGAGCCAAGAAATTATTACAACGTCATACGGCTAAGGCACGTCCATTAATATACGTCTATGTTCTCAATCATAAAAATGGTGTAAAAGCATCAATAATATAAAAAAAATTAATCGATGAATTACAATTTGCTTCGTTCAACTGTGTCTTTTTTATAATTTAATTCCTCTTAAAAAATTACAGAAAGAAATGTTAACGGATCCTGAGAGGGCTTAGGGACTCACCCTCCCCCACACCTCGTCGAGTCTCCCCCGACAAATCACAATTTTAATTCTATATTATCTACTTTCTTAGTAATGCACTACCTACAAGACAATTTTCATCGTTTATCTTTACTTAATCCATTTTAGGCAGGTATAGTATGCTTTTCAATTTTGCATTCCCTTAAGGTGACAAATTGGTAAAGACTGGCAGCGAGTAAGTGAACTCATATTGCTCTGATCCGGGTCTAAAGGCCGTCAAGTCCACATTCAACATCGGAGATGGAAGGACCTCTGAAGAAGCGCACCGCTAGTGCTAGCGAAATATTAGGAAGCAACTCCAACACAAGACGGCCTTTAGACCCAAATCAGAACAGCATCTTAAGGTGTTTGTAAGGAATTGTTAATTCACGCGCACACGAAATACAGCCACACAACCTGTTTATCCCTCTCAGTTGCGTTTCGTTTTTATCGCGGTTTCAGAGTCTCAGTTGTAATTGAGATAACAGTGTGCGGCTGAGTGTGTACACGCACCAACGCACATATTATATAAATCATAAATAAATACATAAATCTTTGAAAACAGCTTTGTAAAGAAAGGAAACATCTACCCCAAACAGCAGCAAAGGTGCATTAAGAGACAATTAAGTTTTTCCCAAATATAAAAATTCTTTTACGAATTTTCGCTGCATTACTAGTATCCACTTGTAGTGTGGAGTGTCCAAAATATGGCGGCTCAGTTGAAAAATTGGGCGATGATGTGTCGGATACGGCCATTATGGCGAAAATTCTCCGAAGCCTTCCGTCAAGGTATAACGCTCTCCAAACAGCGTGGGATAGTCTGCTGAAAGTCATTAGTTGCTTCAAAATTTGCTGGATCGATTAATCAAGGAAGAAAAACGAATCGAATGAGATAATGACGCCACCCGAGTGTTAGCCTCTATAAGTCTTGGCGGGAACAATAAGAAAAATGTTACCAAAAGTGCAAATAAAGAAAGCAAGAAGAATAAGGAAAGTAATAAAACAAATGTTGAGTACTTTTATTGCAAAAACAAAGGGCATTATGCTAGCGAATGTCGAAAAAGAAAAATGACAAAAAGAAAAGCAGTGAAGAGTCCCGCGAATGTACTTTTGTCGCTCGGAGACTATGAAGTGTGTAGTACAGGCACTGTATTAATCGATAGACTTGTAAACGACAACTGGTATACAGCGCGCATTGAAGACGTATTGTACGTTCCTAAATTTAGGAAAAGCTTGGAGTTTGAGGTTGTATTCAAGGGACAATGAAACCTTGCGCGAGATGATACAAAAAGAGCTAATTCGTTGTGTAAAACCAACAGACGCTGACGACTTCTTCTGCGAATCAAGTGCTTTCGAAAAATCACACAGGCTCTTATTTAAAAAGACTGAACGAAAAAGAAATACACAGCCTGGAGATCACATACATTCAGACGTATAACGGTTCGTTCTCTGTGGGATCGATAGGCCGGTCGAAATACTTCATAACTTTCAAAGACGACGCGTCAGGTTATCGGTATGTATACTTTATGAGACACAAGTCTTATTTTTTCAGTATTAAGAGTAGATAATCAAAGTGCAATTCGTTTAATTAAGAATCCAGAATTTCACAAAAGAACCAAACACAGATATCAAATATATCTTTACATTAGAGAAATTGTGGAAAATGGAAAACTAAAAGTAGAGTATGGATCAACGGAACGGTAGGTATAGGACTATCGAGGCACTTTAACGGCGGCAATGTTGAAAAAGTATTTCTAGTACGCCGAAACTAACGGCAACACCTGCGCGTGCATCTTGAAGAGACGATCGATCGTTCGAGCCTATGGTTCGAGCATTCACTCTTTACTTTAGTTAGTCTTTTGTAATGCGCCACGCAGTTAATACATATATTCATTAAAAGTCTTGTACAAACTTATTCCCCTGCTTATACATCCTCTCATAATCCTCAACAGAAACAACTTTCTCAAACTAGTCTTCTACACCATCCTCAACCCAACGCAACATTACCTATATTTTGTGACGCTTGAGACAACTGTTTGGACGGTGTATTACAACAATACCACGATGAAAACTGAGAACTTAGCATTCTTCTCTGGCAAATCCGACAAGGCGGAGACCAAATACAGTGCTTTCGATTGAGAACTTGCATTCTTTCGTGCAATTAAGCACTTTCGACATTTCCTAGAGGCCCGTGACTTCTTTATTTTCATAGATCACAAACCTCTCACATTTGCCTTCCGTCAGAACCGTGACAAATGTTCCCCGAGACAGTCACGTGATTTAAATTTCATCAGTCAATTTTCAACAAACATACAAAGGTAAATTCAGGCAAAATCAACATCGTAGCAGACACTCTTTTACGCATTTCAGACATATCAAGTCCCATCAATTGCGAAGCCCTTGCAATTCAACAACAAGAGTCCGATAGAGTACTCCAATCATATCTGTTTTAACAAGTTCTTATTATTAAAACGTATTCATATACCGGGTACTAACAAAGCTATCTTCTGTGGCATCTCGGCAGGAACAACTAGACCATTATTGATCCTATCGTTTCGCTTTTTCACTTTCAACCACTTACGTTTCTTAACGCACCCTGGTATTTGTGCTATTTCAAGCTAAACACACAATCTTTCATCTGGCTACATCAAACAGTGATTGCGCCAAATAGGCACGCGCATGCATTCGGTCTCAAAAAGCAAACATTTCCCAGCACGTTTCTGCCCCTCTGGTAATCTTCAACATGAAGGATACCGTTACTGCCTCACATGCGTAGATCGGTTCACGCGTTGACCCGAAGGAATTCCCATCAAAGATCGAAAAGCTGCAACCGTAGCACGTGCTTTCTAGGAAGGATGGATCTGTTGATTTGGTGCACCTTCACGGATTACTACAATCAAAGAAGACAATTCGAATCTCAACTCTTCAATGAACTGTCTCACTTAACGTACACCAAACACATCCATACCACGGCATATGATCCTGCAGCAAATTTCAACGCCAGTTAAAGGCTGCAATAACATATCATCAAAATAACCACTGAACCCAGATTCTTCTCATTGTACTATTAGGTAGTCTGGAAGGAAGATCTGAATGCAACAACCGCTGACATGGTATATGGAAAGTCACTACGTCTACCTGGAGAATTTCTATCTACACCTAGCTCATCGATCAATAGCAGTCCATCTACTTACGTACAACAGTTTCGCGACACTTCCAACTACTACAGCCTGATGTATCCGGAACACGACATGGTGAAAAGAAGAGATTCATCTACAAAGACCTCTAAACAACAGTGTGTGTCCTAGTTCAACAACTGTCCAACAATGAGAAAACTGTATCTATTAACCTACTGAAACCAACATACATCATGTCAAAGGGACAACATCCACGATCCTCTCCTGCGCCTGCAACCACCCTCAACAATGCTGTACAATCAACAAGAAAGACCCTCCCAGTACGCTTCCCGAAATATTTCACAACAGGACGACCATTATCGTTAATCACTAGGGAGGGAGTTCTGTGGGAACACTCTGTATAGTATATAATTCGTACACATACGGTTAATGCACATGTATGCAAGCATTTCTATCGTAGTTGTCGATTGACCAAAACTGGGTCAGCCATCAAACGCGGACCAAGCTTGATAAACATTTTGCATTTAATCCATGTAAATAATGTTAGCATAAATACTGTGTAAATATGTTGAATACGCATGCTACAGACCTGTAGTTTCGTATAACTTGCTTATTATCTGCTTTAAAAACAGGAATAACACTATTTTGTTCCATATTGCTTGCAAAATGCCTAATCTTAAAAATCACAACTTAATGATGTATATAAAGTCATTAATATTGATATGAAAATGTTCAAAATTAATTGATGATAAAAAGAGGTATTTGATTGCATAAATTCTATGTCAGGGCTTCTGACACCAGGCAGTCTTTTCTATGTGTTTGCCGACACAATAACAATTCCTTAATAATAAAAGGGGCGAGCGAAGTAAGTTAAACTAATTTATTTGTCCCTTACTTTGGTACAGTGATGGTTGTACAATGTTAAAATTAGAGGTTCTGATTAAGTGAAGGTCTAAACTGCAACTGACTGATTGACTGACTTGAGTATGTTTTTAAATATACA